ACGTCTCGTCATTGGCCATGTGTCTCGTGGCCCCTGAATCGACATACCAAGTGTGCCTCTGAGTGTTAATTTCGTGGACGCTGTAGCAAATGGACCCCGCTTGTTCGCAATCGTCCTTGGCTTCATTTGCCTTTTCCCTTTTCTCTTTGTTATCTTTCCACTTTTTGTACTTGAAACAATCTTGTTTAAAGTGCCCTGTCTTCTTGCAGAAATAACATACTTTACCTTGATTTGTCTCTGTACTCCTTTTCTGTGATGCTCTCAATGCTGCGCTTGACTCTTCTGTATCTGGAACGCCCTTCCTCCTTTTATATTCGTCGATTAACTTCCCTTTCACCAAGCTCAACGTCAACTCAGTCTCTGGTCTGCTTTCCAGTGCGGTAATCAACGTGCTGTATGTATCCGGCAGGCTACTCAGCAGCATGGCCACGAAGAGATGATCCTTTATCTCTTCGCCCAGCGCCGTCAGTTTATCCACCAGGTCCTGCATTGTTGCCACGTGATCCTCCATGTTTCCTGTCTCTGATAACTTTAAATTGCAGATTTGTCTTAACAGATATACTTTGCTTGTGAGCGTTGATTTTTCGTGATAGTCTTTTAACGATTCCCATACCTGTTTTGCTGTCTTTGCCTTACGTATATGAATCAACTGTGAGTCCTCGACGAGCAATCCGATGGTAGCACGCGCCTTGTCGTCCTTTTTCTGCCAAGCCGCCGCAGCCAGTGGTTCTGACGGTTTTTCTGTGTTAACCTGAGTCCACAGGTCATCCTTAATTAGATAAAGCTCCATCTTTATCTTCCACACAGAATAATTGTCATTATTCAGTTTGGTGAAATTGGTACGGAATATATCTCCCATGCTTAACCTCAAAATTCACCACGTGCTTACAAATCTTTCGCTTTTACTTAATCTAATCAAACCTCTCCTGGGCCCATAACCTGTTGGTTATATCGTGCAGCAGGATGATTCCAACACCAAGTGAACAGAGCAATCGGAATTGAGATTGATGTAAAAATAGCGTATATATTTTAGCTTCTCGAGTACAGAATGTGAAACCGCAAGTAAGAAAGAAAAAAGGAACCATATATATATAAGTGATAATGAGAGCGGCGTACGCGCGTCAAAAATAAATCTTGCACATGCGCGCGACGATTAATACGCGAGCGCTGATGTGAGTAAATGCGGCAGAATCGTTGTCCTTTTGAAAAAAGGTTGATACACCAACAGATATAATATTGGATAATTTATATAATATTTGTATTGCGCTGAGGAAGGCTCGAAATGTCAGCCGAAACGTTCGCTTTAATGTGTATTTTTATGTATTTATTATTTCGTTTAAATGTGAATAAATGATCACTTCTTATTTATTTCTCGTTCCGTTCAAATAAAGTTTTTTAATATCAACTGACAACTTTGTTATGTTTAATAGCTCTTATAGCCCTTCTTTGTTTACAATTATTAATTTAACAGAGCTAATTACTATTTTTATTATATATTTATTAGTTATAAACTCTAAGAATTTTTATATTAATAGAGATGTGTGCTATTATATATGTATAGTAGGTCCCAAATAAAAGTTAGATTTATATTATCTTAATAAGTACAACTTAGGTCTCCTTTCCCGATTCAGCGATTTTCGGATCTATATTTTTTTCTTGCATTATTTTCATTTAACACGCTTTTTACTAGTTAGACTCAGTAAATAATAATTATTAGTAACAAATGGGCAAAGAGTACGTACACGATCTTGGTGTAAAGTTGTAATAAAGTAATAACAGCAATCAATTGTCAAACGTTTCGGTTATTATTTAACCATCTTCAGTGACAAACTAAAATACAGTAACTGATATTAACAAATAATCGGATAAATAAGAATAAATTAATATACCTTTAGAACAGCAGTGATATCAGTTAAAAAACAACGATCTATGTCGACATATTAAACGGAATTAAAGTCACTCGGTGAAAACAATTATATTTCGAGGCACCGACAAAAGTAGAAGAAAGGGGAGTCAACAGAGAGAGGGAAAAGAAAAAAGAAAAGAGAGGAGAAAAGCGGGTAAACTTAAAGGGTGGATAAGGAATTGATAATTGAGGAGTAGGCGTCAGAGAAAAGTTTAGTGTCACTTTTTTTATTTAGGCTATTCTTTTGTCTTTTAATGTGCAGGATCTCAGAAATCAGTCTTTTTTTGTAGTGATGTTTAATATCCAAAATTTGTATACCGTCCTAATCAAATTCATGACTTTTCATGCGGTATGCAGATATTACAAGAGATGCTGCATTTTTAAGAATATCAGACCGATGTTTTTTGACACTAGTTTTAAGTTTTCTCTTCGTTTGGCCTACATAAGTAGCATTACAATTCCCGCAGGAGATTTTATAAACGACATCACGCGCATTAGTATGTTTCAACCTGTCTGTGTGTTTTTATGATGTTATTGAGATAGCCCTTCGCAAATGCAGTTTTGTATCCGAAACTTTTTGTTATTAAATTAAATTTATTTTCCACTGAGTAAGCATAAAGAAACACGAAATAAGGTTTTTGTGAATCTTTGTTATTACCAGATAACTCCTCATTATTATTATTGTCAGATAAATAGAATAAATAAAAAAGTCTGTTCTTAATTGTCTGAAAAATAAAATCCAAAGAAAAGCAGTTATCCAATAAAATGTGTATAACTTTTTTCAAATATTCTTGATAAAAACGAGGATGGGATAGTTTGATAATTTTATCTACTAAACTAATTATGGTGCCTTTTTTGTGTTAAAGTATTCTGAAAGTAGAAATTCAAATATCTCCCAAAATAGAAAGATTGGAACCAAACTATAAATTGGTTTCACTTGATGCGGTCTCTTTGTTCACTAATATACCAATAGATTTGGCTATTTCTAGTTTAACAAAAAGATGGGAGTACATAAAAGACAACACCCGCATCACTCAAGATGAGTTTATGAGAGGTATACAGTATGTGTTATCTTCCCTATTCTGGGAGATATTTGAATTTCTATCCGCTTTTCTCCTCTCTTTTTTCTTTTTTCTTTTCCCTCTCTCTGTTGACTCCCCTTTCTTCTACTTTTGTCGGTGCCTCGAAATATAATTGTTTTCACCGAGTGACTTTAATTCCGTTTAATATGTCGACATAGATCGTTGTTTTTTAACTGATATCACTGCTGTTCTAAAGGTATATTAATTTATTCTTATTTATCCGATTATTTATTAATATCAATTATTGCATTGTAGTTTGTCACTGAAGATGATTAAATAATAACCAAAACATTTGACAATTGATTGCTGTTATTACTTTAAACAAAAAATTACTCATTGCAAACCCATGTAGAATCCTATGAAAAATTAATCATTGCAAACCCATGTAGAATTCTATGAAAAATTAATCATTGCAAACCTATGTAGAATTCTATACAAAATAAACCATTGCAAACCCATGTAGAATTGTATGAAAAATTATCCATTGTAAATCCATGTAGAATCTTACTAAAAATGTAATAATATTAAAAAAAATTGCGCCAAGTTAAAGTAGAAACTTCTACCAGTGAAAAATTGCAAACATATATAGAGTCGTATAATGAACCACTAAATTAATATAATAGTAAATTAATATAAAATTAAAAAAAAAAAAAAATTTTAGTTAAAAAAACTTAGCGCGTTGTTAAATAATATCCTAATAATATTAAAATTAAATTATTTGCTACTTTAAAATTTATTGCAGTTAAAGTATATTTTGTAATTAAATTAAGTTGTAATTTAACTAAGTATGTAACTTTAAGGTGCATTGTAATTTTGAAACTTAGCAGCGCGCCCAGTTTTTTTAACTAAAATTTTATTTTTTTTTAATTTTATATTAATTTACTAGTTTATTATACGACTCTATATATGTTTGCAATTTTTCACTGGTAGAAGTTTCTACTTTAACTTGGCGCAATTTTTTTTTATATCATTACTTTTGTAGTAAGATTCTACATGGATTTACAATGGATAATTTTTACGTAGGTACATTTACAACGAAACTAAATTTTCGTTGGAAACAAAGCGTGCGCAAGGCACGTATTATTCTCGGTGTACCAATCAAGACTTTAAAAATTGAAATAATTTCTTACTTAAGATTTAATTTCAAAAACATTCTAACCCCCCTGCGGAAATAATTGAATAAATGTAAGAGAAAAATATAGATCCGAAAGTCGCTGAATCGGGAATCGAACCCGAGATCTTTCGCTTGACAGGCGACTCTCGGGTATTTTTTTACTTAAAAAATAAAAACCCTGGATAATTTTTTCAAAATACAAATATTTAAACATGACAATTTTGTTTCATTTGCTATGCAAGTTTCTTATATTGCAATTTTGTAAGTGTTGTTGCAAAAAAGTGTATAATAAATATTTAAATAATAATTACGCCTTTCTGCGTTTAAATTTTATAAAAATAGTAGAGTAAATGGCAATATGAACCTGGCATAGTATTAGGTTGTTCGGAAAGTTTGTTTCAATATAAATTTAAACGCAATATTTTACACAATGCGGAACTTTATTTAAGTAAATATGTACCGTTTTGTTCAACCACCTTGGTTCATCTTTCGGGAAGTTGCATGATGCCTTTCTTCCAAAATGAAGATTTCTTACTGGCGAAAAATTGATCGATCTGGTTTTTAAGGATTTTGAATGACTTGAATCTTTTGTCCCGAAGAAAATTTTTTAAAGAAAGAAATAGATAATAATCAGATGAGGCAAGATCGGAAGAATATGGAGAATGAGGAAGAACGTTCCATTTTAAGTCTAATAGTTTTTTACGGATAGACATCGCGACGTGAGGTCTGGCGTTATCGTGGTGGAAGACAACTCCACGCCAGTGGGCCAGTTCAAGGCGCTTTTGTGCGATGGCAGTCTTCAATTTGTCCAACTAAAGGTTGTACTTCGTTGCGTTGATGGTTTCGTTCGGCTAAAGAAGCTCATAATATAGCACGCTCTTAAAATCTTACCAGATACTCAGAAGAACTTTTTTGGATGAAGCCTCGGCTCGGCCACTGTTTGCGTAGGTGCGCTCTTAATTCCCCACGATCTCTTGCGGCTAACATTATTGTATAGGATCCAACTTTCATCGCCTGTTACAATCCTCTTTAAAAATGGTTCTTTTTGGTGCCGTTGAAGCAGCATATCGCAGATGTTCACACGTTCCATCAATTGCCATTCATTCAGTTCGTGTGGCAACCACTTATCCAGTCGAGTTGAGAATCCTAGCTTTTTCAGGTGGTCATGTACGGTAAAAATGGACTTGTGCAGAGTGTCGGCGAGTTCTCTAACAGTCACTCGAGGGTTTTTATGCATGAAATCCTTAAGAAGCGTTTCATCAACCTCCTGAGATCGACCAGAGCGAGTTTCATCTTCCATGTTAAAATTGCCAAATTCGAATCTTCGATACCACTTGCAAATTGTCTGATGAGTGACGCAGGCATATCCATATACAGAGAACATCTCTTTCAGAGTCTGTGAAGCCAAGAAACCGCGCTTAAAGCAATACAGCATCACATGGCGAAAATGGACTTTCTGGTTCTCTATTTTTAAATTTATTTCTGCGAAAATCTGCGAAGTTTATTTGGCGCGCGCGCGGATTTATATATCCAGTAAAATTAGCTGATAAGCAGAAAATCTGTAGCGCTCTCGCATTTACTGATTACATATAAATGCGGAGCACGTAAAATTTGAAACAAACTTTCCGAACAACCTAATACATTAGGTGCAAAAAATTTTTATAAAAATGACAATCACTTATCTAAAGTTAACGTCGCAAAATTTATTATTCATACAAGTAGACAAATGTTTCACACATAATCTCAATAATCGCGGACATTTCGGACTCCTCTTAGGGCCATCTTCAGCGTTAATAAAATCTAAATTATCTTGCAGAAAAACTAAAAATTAGAAGATAGAAAATAAAGGTTTATATCTACGCCGAGACAAATTTTCCATTAAAAAATCCATAACGAATCCACCGACCCGATAGAGTAATTAAAATCAAATCTCTAATTGTCGTCATCATAGCGTTCAAATGATATTAAATCCCTCCAAGGTTGATAAGCCAAGAGCAGAAAGACACGGGACACTATAATGAGAAACTCGTAGAATCGTATCATAAAATTTAAGAAATATAAGCAATAAATTATAACTGTAGTTACTCAAGAAATCAAAGTACATAACTAATTTCTATTACTCACAGTCGGATACCGAAAACAAAGCTATACACAGCTTATAATGTACATAGTCAAGTAATTGTAATTAAATCACAAAGAATACTTCTTTAAAAAATTATTTAACAAAATTATAAATGTAAATATATCAAAATTTTTTAATCTTTGAAAAACAATTGTTTAAATCAACGAGATTCTCATTTAATTTGTCTGTGTCCGTCTGTAAATTAAGACCATTTTTTGTCTCATAATGTAGGTCATTTCAGAAATGAGTTTTTTTCCATAGATAAATTCCATATCTAAAAGTAAGTTGTTGTTCTAGTCAAACTGATGATCAAAATCAAGTCTATGTTCAGTAATAACAGAGTAAGTCCTATTCTTCCAGTTTATATAATTCCTATATTCAGCAATTCTGGTATGTAACTATCATCCTGTTTGCCCAACATAAAAGGCGTTACAATTCAAGAAGTTAATTTTATAAACTACGTTACAGCGATTTGTCTTGGGGATGTTATCCTTATGGACCCCCTTCAAAAATTCGTTTATTTTATTTATACTAAAATATGAAATTCTCAAATTAAGATCTTTCATTATGTTTTTAAAACTATCAAAAACTAACGGTATACAGGGTGTTCCGGAAAAACCTTCTGTCCTTAAAATGACGAATTTGTGACGCAATTCTGAGACCATTTTTTCTTTTACTATATTTTTATTTAAAGCGTAGTTTTTGAGTTATAAACAAAAATAGTTAGGTTACGCGTCAAGTACAGAAGGCAGGCAGGAGCAATTATCAATAGCTCAATAGCTCCTGTGGTCGCGCAGTCTCCGCTTATAACCAAATGCTTATAGCCTCCCTAAGATCCACAAACCTGAGTGCCTTTTCGTAATAATTATCTCATCGGTCAATAGTCCTTTATATTATTTGGCTTCTTATTTACAAATTATGCATAAAAGCTTTTTGAAATCTGATAGTTATGTTTCTAATAGTTTCGAATTAGTTAAGAGTCTTTCTAATAAATACATTGTTGATGGTTTTAAGTTTATTTCGTTGGATGTGATCTCGCTGTTTACTAATATTCCGATTGACATAGCTCTAGCGTTGCAAATAGATGAGGATATATTAAAAATAACTGCAAAAGAGTGATGACAAATTTCGACTATTTTTGGGATCTCAAATTTAAACCTTTTTTCATTGCAAATAGTACTATTAGATGAAATATTAATCCCAGTAAAATTTCAAGATGAGCAAAGGCATGGTTCCGGAGATACAAGGGAGTGCATGTGATGATTTCTAGTCAGGGATGAGAAATTATCACTTTCACTTCTTCATATCTCCGGAACCGTGCCTATGCTCATCTTGAAATTTCTCTGGGTTTAATGTTTCATTATACTAGTACTATTTAACATTAAAAAAAAGTTTGAAATTTGAAATCCCAAAATTCGACTTTATAAAATGAGCGAAAAACAGGTCTTTTTGCCATCGCTCTTTCCGAGACGGAATTTTGTCAGATTTGTTTTAAATTCCACCTTCTTTGTGTTTAACAAAATAATTTATCAACAGACATTTGGTATACCTATGGGCTCTCCCCTCTCTCCGATTATCGTAAACATTGTTTTACAAGATATTAAGAGAGCTGCATTACAAACTTTGAAATTCACACTGGTACACATATAGGAATATTTGAATCGAAAAGTCGGTCAAAATTATTTTTGTTAAAAATTATTCAAATAAATTTTAGGTGAGAAGATAAATTAATAAAAAACCACTCCTCAACGTTTAAAGTCGACCAGACTGGCGATAATTTATTATAAATAATTATTTGAAATACAACGTTTCGGCTGTCATTGCAGCCCTTTTCAAGTACATCAAAAAGTTCCATCAAAATAATTATAATTTAATACACTTATTCGCAACAATTAATTATACATTTAAAAACAAAAATGTGTTACATACCAAATTTAAAACAGTAAATCAACTTCTATGCAAACAACCGACAATGTTAACGCTTGTTTTGATGAACAATGCAAGACTGACAGAAGTAAGCACATATTAAATAGATGTTAACTGTTCGCAAGAATCTTAGTCACTAAGCGTTAAGAAAATAGAGACGAAACTAAATGTGTCTTTCGTAATTTAAATCGTCATAATAAAGTCAAATAAATAAAAATAAATACATAGGTGGATATAAAAATAAAATTAAAAGTAAAAATAATAAAACGACTTAAATAACGTCAAGAACACGATCATAAATCCCACTGAAATTCTCCGTATCTTTCTGTAAATTAATACTTTTTCCTTGTTTTTTTATGTAAAACATTTCTGCAATTTCTCTTTTTCTTGTCTGTTTTTCTTCATGCAGAATCACCGGAGAATCCCAACGGAACTCATGATCGTTGCAAGTCCGATGCAAACTAACGACAGAATGCAATGTCTTTTCTTTTTTATGTTATTTCTATGTTCTTTAATGCGCGTTTCTAAATGTCTCTTTGTCTGTCCTATATAAGCCGAATCGCAATTCGCACATTCAATTTTATAAACAACATCAGTTCTTTTTAAGTTTTCGATCCCATCTTTACTTGTTTTTATCAACGTGTCCAATTTTTTTGGGACAGTATATAAAGCATCAATTCCACTTTTATTGATGCAACGCGTAATATTCTCGCTAAGATCTTTAATGTAAGGTAACACAATGCAATTTCGCGTATCAAATTTATTTCGATTGGGCGAGTTAAGATTACCGCCAAATTTAATCGCTCGAAGTCTTTTATTGATGTTTTTGTTTATAATTGTTAACGGGTAACAATTATTAATAAGGATTCTTTTGATTAAATTAATATTTTCTTCATGAAAAATAGGGTCAGCGAGTAAAATAGCCCTATCAACTAGGCTTGTAATCACGCTGATTTTATATCTCATAGGATGATTTGACAGAAAATTAATATAGCGGCCTGAAAACGTAGGCTTGCGGTACCAATTAGTCGTCAATCTACTATCAATACGTATAACGTTCGTATCCAAAAAACTCAGAGAACAATTTTTCTCTAGTTCGAACGTAAACTTAAGTCGAGTGTGGAAACCATTGAACACACTAAGCATATCCTCAATTTTTCCTTTCGGAATAATTGAAAAAATATCATCGACGTGCCTAAAATAACAATAGGGTTCGAAATCCAATTGACGCAAACAGTATGATTCCAAATCGTCCATAACAATGTCAGAAAGAATCGGAGACAATGGAGACCCCTCCAATGACAACCTGGATAATTTGAGATTTTCGATAGCGAGTTCGGTACACAAGTTTTTGAGTAAACAAAAACATGTAGTTACATCGATAATTACATTTGTAATAGATACTTCGATTGCTCAAAATTTTTGAAATCTAACAAAAATATTTTTGCAACTAAAGCTGATAAAGGCCAGGTTACTGTGCTGATGGACCGGACAGACTATGTTGAGAAAATGAATTTTTAAAACTGCGCAAAGCTAAACGAAGTAAATTGTGAGATGTCATCCCATCGGTTTTCTATTGCTATTTTAATTAATTCCCACGGGATGTTAGTAAAAAGTGAAGTCACGTCCAACGAAATCATAACATGGCTGTCGTCGATGTTTCTGTCTTTAATAATCTCCACAAAGGACCAACTATCCTTGACATGAGATCGAGGTTTATTGACTGCATTTTGTAGTGTCTCACTCAAAAAGGATGCTATGTTGTAAACAGGACTTCCTACAGTTGAAATTATGACGCGGAGAGGGTAACCTACCTTATGAATTTTTGGTAAACCATAAGCACGAGGCAAATTACCATTCGTACACCTCAATTGTCTGTATGTGTTATCATCTATTAGTCTATTATCCAACCAAGATTTTAATAAATTAACGACCCTCGTGCTCAGTGACTTCAGCGGAGTCCTATTAAGTGATCTATACGTAGAATCGTCTATCAATAAAAAATTCATTTTCTCAACATAGTCTGTCCGGTCCATCAGCACAGTAACCTGGCCTTTATCAGCTTTAGTTGCAAAAATATTTTTGTTAGATTTCAAAAATTTTGAGCAATCGAAGTATCTATTACAAATGTAATTATCGATGTAACCTACATGTTTTTGTTTACTCAAAAACTTGTGTACCGAACTCGCTATCGAAAATCTCAAATTATCCAGGTTGTCATTGGAGGGGTCTCCATTGTCTCCGATTCTTTCTGACATTGTTATGGACGATTTGGAATCATACTGTTTGCGTCAATTGGATTTCGAACCCTATTGTTATTTTAGGTACGTCGATGA